ACATAGAAAAAGTGATAACTCAAGACTTTCTGTCTGAACATTATTTTAATTTCACACACATATACACTGATACATCGAAAGAACCATCTAATGATCGTACTGCTGGGGCTTTTTGGATACCCAATTTATCGATCGCTAAGGTGTTCAGATATCCTGATTATCTTTCTGTTATTGCAGCTGAACTGTTGTCCATTTTGCAAGCATTGAGATGGGTAGATGAATATGACCATGAAGCAATTATCTTTACAGATTCCATGGCAGCAATCAAAGCTATAGTAGCTGGTGCAAATGCATCTAGAGATGACATTGTTCATGAGATATTAAAGTTGGATACATCTTTAAGTATGAAGTACATTGCATGCGACATTGTGTGGGTCCCAGCACATGTTGGAATACATGGGAATGAGATGGCAGATAATTTGGCCAAATCCGGGTTACAGTTTCCTGAAGTTGATTTATTTAAATTTCAACCAGTCCCTAAAGATTTTGAAAATGTTTTATCGAAATATGTTACAAGGAGTTGGCAACAGTTGTGGGATACATGGAAAAACTGGCCGACATATGTACAAACTTAGACCATCACTAAAATTCTGGTCATAAAATTCGTCGTCGTAAAAGGCGTGATGAGGTTATTCTTTCACGTCTCAGACTTGGACACTGTGGGCTAAATGCTTACAAGAGTATTATAGATAAGACGGTCTCTTCTAAATGTGGCCAATGCAATTTGGAGACGCCTGAAAACATCGAACATTATCTAATTACATGCCCTGGGCATAACAACATAAGACATAATCTCAGAAGTGCTGTACTTGAGGTTGATAATGTATTTTCATTAGAAACAGTTTTGGGCTCCAATATCATGTATGGGTCTGTGCAACGGGCAGTTTAAGATTTTGTCTCGTCATCTGGAAAATATGATGTAATCTAGACAGGCTCTCGAATGGCTTAGACATATTTAGTTCTGTGGTTTTAAATCATTTTAACACTCTGTCATCTGAACCTACTGCTTTTTTATTGAATGAGTATTTCATGTTTCAGAAATGGAAGTGATTACTTAAGGTTTTTAATCCGGAACACAAAGCAGAGGTTATTCGATATATGTATACATCTATCCAAATTAATAGTGTTGTCGTTTCTTTTATCTTAACTAAACGATTCCTTTTGGCGATGAAATTACATATGATTGTTTATTAAATCAAGTCAATGTGTTGGGCGCAGATAGGCCTCTTATTGGCCCACGTCGCCCTAAAACTATAAAACCAACCAACTATTCTATAAACTGGCGTTCACAAAAGAACTTGCAAAGATAAAAAGGTAAGAGTGAGTGAGTATGGTTTTACGCCGCTTTTTGCAATATTCCATCAATATCACGGCGGGGGACACCAGAAATTTGGCTTCACACATTGCACCCATGTGGGAATCGAACCCGGGTCTTCAGCATGTCGAGCGGACGCTTTAACCATTAGGCTACCCCACCGCCCCAACAAGGTAAGACAGGGTCGACTAGCAGAATACGTTTAAGAAGTGTTGAACTGTGTGCATCGCTACAAACACAAAGGAGTGTTAACTGATTTTCTATGAAGATGATATATCATGGACAAAGTTGTTTCACTTGCACTGGTATCACGTCACGAAACACTCCCATCCGAATTCCGCAGTCGCTATCCACTCCGAGGAAGTTTCCGCAGTCACCCGATCCGTGGTTGACATCGGGTAGTCTCCAACATAACAACTGGTTGACCCACAGCGGGTATGCGTTATTCGTAGGTATGTCTGTCTTTCTGTCTATTCATAGATCTGTCCGTCTGTTCGTAGGTGTGTCTGTTCATAAATCTGTGTGTCTGTTCATAGATCTGTCTGTTTGTTCATAGATCTGTCCGTTTGTTCATAAATCTGTATGTCTGTTCATAGATCTGTCTGTTCATAGATCTGACTGTCTGTTCATAGATCTGTCTGTCTATCTGTTCATAGATCTGTCCTTCTGTTCATAGATCTGTCTGTCTGTTCATAGATATGTCTGTCTTCATGTTTATAGATCTGTCCGTCTGATCATAGATCTGTCTGTCTGTTCATAGATCTGTCTGTCCGTCTGTTCATAGATCTGTCTGTCCGTCTGTTCATAGATTTGTCCGTCTGTTCATAGATCTGTCCGTCTGTTCATAGATCTGTCTGTCTGTTAATCGATCTGTCTGTTTGTTCATAGATCTGTCCGTTTGTTCATGGATCTATCTCTCTCTGTTCATAGATCTGTCTATTTATAGATCTGCGTGTCTGTTCATAGATTTGTCTGTTTGTTTATAGATCTGTCCGTCTGTTCATAGGTTTGTCTGTCTGTTCATAGATATGTCTCTTTGTTCATAGATCTGTCCGTCTGTTCATAGATCTGTCTGTCTGTTCATAGATCTCTCCGTCTGTTCATAGATCTGTCTGTCTGTTCATAGATCTGTCTGTCTGTTCATAGATCTGTCCGTCTCTTCATAGATCTCTCCGTCTGTTCATAGATCTGTCTGTCCGTCTGTTCATAGATCTGTCCGTAGATCCGTCCGTCTGTTCATAGATCTATCTGTCTGTTTAAAGATCTGTCTATTTGCTCATAGATCTGTCTGTCTGTTCATAGATTTGTCTGTCTGTTCATAGATCTGTCTGTCTGTTCATAGATCTGTCTGTTCATAGATCTGCGTGTCTGTTCATAGATCTGTCTGTTTGTTTATAGATCTGTCCGTCTGTTTATAGGTTTGTCTGTTTGTTCATAGATATGTCTCTTTGTTCATAGATCTGTCTGTCTGTTCATAGATATGTCTGTCTGTGTCCTTTAGGCAGGGCGTATCCATACCCTTTTCGCCTGCTCACGGGGCCAGCTTCTCTGGTACTCCTTTCAGAACGTTCGTGGTTCGAATCCAAGCACAGGAGTCGGAAATGGTATGGCCGCTACATATCTATCTATGTGCCTCCACATACGCCCGTGGATGTGAATAAAACACTTTAGATAGGTATAAAACATGTATGTTTTTTTCGGATTAAATGAGATCTATTCAAGGGGATACATCGCTATGGCCATAGTTACAAATTCACAAACTGAAGCTCAATATTCTTTCTAACCTTCTTCACGGGTCACATCTATGTTGATAAAACTTGCACTACGTAGATGCTACTTACATTCATGTAGATGATACTTTCATCTAAGTACATGACAAGTTACTTCTACGTAGATCATAGTACTTTTAATTATAGACATTATAATCTAGGTGGAAAAGGTATCATTTAGTACGAATTATCAACATATCATTAGTTCCCGGTCTGTTGTATGTACTCTTGCTTCATTTGTAATGACCAACTTGTTTGACTAACAATCTTGATGTGTCTTTATTGAGGCACTTTATGAACATTCGCTAAAATATCACTTCTTTAATAGTTGTGTCCGTGTGCGTGTGCGTGTGGCTGTAAGCATTGCCTATATAAACCCGTCTAGCACAGGCAATGGTTGCTGCCATTTCAAGTTCAAATCCTGTCTGAAGATCATCTAAGGATCATTGTGTATGAACTCTGCAAGGATTCACGTCTTCCCAAGGGGGTCAATAGTCTGTAGTGGAAGTCGCAGCTCCCCATATGTACGACTCGTTCATCCAGACACACAACAAAGAACGGGCTGAGGATCCTTCCTGGCCATGCGTTCTCACAATCCGGAAGTCCACTGTATGATGGGTACCGGATATGACATGGGATGCAGTGACCGCCATGACACTGATGACGGCTGTAATCACCTACAAAAAATACATATTAGATACACAAGACCCAGGGCAATGACTCTCAGTCTATTGTCTGAAACACCAATACATTCAGATCTACACTACACAGAGACAGTCAGATACACTGTGGAGTCTCTCATTCTACTGTCTGAAACACCAATACATTCAGATCTACACTACACGGAGACAGTCAGATACAGTGTGGAGTCTCTCAGTCTACTGTCTGAAACACCAATGCATTCAGATCTACACTACATGGAGGCAGTCAGACTTACAACCTTCTGAAATCAAGCACATTCTCACTTTTTAAGTATATCGTACCGGAAGAACAAAGGGATTTTATGCACTCATCGTTACCTACCCTATCTCAAAATTGTAATTAGTATATCCGATCTTAGCAATCGCTACCGTTCCACACAGAACTCAGGACAAACCTGAGAACATCCGGGTTAGGTGAGGTGAGGTGAGGTGAAATTGGGTTTAACGTCGTGCTTGAGAATATTTCGCATATATGACGACGTGCATGCGTGTGTTTGTGTATGTGCGGCTGCTTGTACTAGCCCAGACTGAACTGGTTTTATAGTGCTAGCCCACTGGGATACCACGCTGCAGTGAAGCATGAATACCCCACTCAGACACATTATACTGACTCCGAGCCGATCAGTCCTTGTTGTACCCATTAATGCCGAGCGCCAGGCAGGAACCAACAAGTACCATATTTTAACGTCTTTTGGTATGACGCGGTAGGGGATCGAACCCGCGACCTTCCGCTCTCCGGGCGGACCCTCTAACCACTACACCACGGAGGCGGTCCCCGGGTTAGAAATGATCTCAGCAACCCATGCTTGTCGTAAGAGGCGACTAACGTGATCGGGTGGTCAGGCTCGCTGACGAGATTATAAATGTCATCCCAGTATTGAGCAGATCGATGCTCATGTTGTCAATCACTAGATTGTCTGATAGCTGTAAGGCTGCTGGGTGTGATATTCTAACACGAATCTTCACGGGTTGTGAACAGTGACGATGACTTGGTTGACACATGTCATCGTGTCCCAGTTGTGTAGATGGGTGGTCATACTGTTGATCACTGGACTGTCTGGCCCAGACTCGATTATTTACAGATCGCCGTCATATAATTGGAAAATTGCTGAGTGCGGCGTTAAACAACAAACCAACCAACCAACCAACCAGTTGTTTTTTTAAAGATAACAGAGAAACGCACTTGGATGACGATCATAGAAACATAAGCGTGTGTTGTTGACAAAGTATTTATTGCCTTTTGGGATCTGTAAACCTACGGGTTTTTACGAACAACTGCAGGTACGCAATTTGGGGTCAAAGCGAGGTGTCCCCGGTCCTAGGTATGGGCACTGGCCAGTGTAGACCAGTCTCTGATTCACGCACACAACGAAGTAAGAGGAGTTGATTCGATATTCGTAGACGTTGAGGCCGTCGGAGAGGTTCCTACAGGTGGGGTTGTAGACGTGACAAGGTGGCCCACAGTACCTGGAGCCAGCGCATCTGTTCCAATCATACTCACCTAGAAACAGACAACAGTGGCTGTATGCAAGCACGTGTCGGAACCTCAACTGTGATCGGCTGCCAGAGCGAATATTGCGGTACGATTGGCCTATCTCACCAAGAAGAACATATGTACATTTTACCGATTATACTTATGACATCTGTAACAATCACATACAACAATGCATGCCAACTAGATACATCGCCACCAATCACATCTCTCATTTATGCAAAAAAGCTTTATCCCGTCATAAGGCGAAGGCCGCGAGTCAACCAAAATGCGTGTAACTGATATATCTATCAATACCGTTATGATAGTGTCTTCAAATCAGCTTTCCACAATACTTTATTTGGCGCCTTAATAAACAATTACATGATAGTGCAGCAGCATCCGGAAGACCATCGTCAGTTCCCTGCCTAGCCGCTGTCCCAAGGCAAGTCCCTCTTACAACACGATACGGATTCAACGTACGGAATATAATACAGTGTTTATATAAAAAAACGTTTGTGATCAGCATTGTGTTTTCATTGTCCTTCCACATTTATCTCCAAATCAGCAGCCCTGTATCGTATTACGGTACATATATGGTAAGCTAGACTAACGCTTAGTCTCTGAATATATAATTTTGATGGCAAAAAAAACCCACCATTTAAATTGAAAAGGAGCCCAAGGGAGACCAGAGATCCTGAACCTGAGGAAATCTTGACTTGCTTTATTTAGGGCTTTAGCATTGCAGGGAGGGCTAGGTTGTAGGGAAAATAGTGTGGTTGAGGGACTGTGTGACAGACTAATGGTAAGCCTGGAGTATCCAGCACCTCATCCAAAATGTTAAACTTCCCTAGACAACCGGCAAGGTTAAATTACACGCAGCTGACCTGCACATGGCTGTGCTGATGGCCATGAAGATAAGCTGCTTCTATTTCATTTATATTGGCAGCACTGAGAAGATTTAGATGTGCAACTTTAACAGTTACTTAACTCAGGGAACATGCAAACATATGTATACACCCTGTTAAAAAGGGACTTCGATACATATTCCGCGGGGTAATGAAAGATGACAACCAGGTGTCTATCTCGTCCTTCTAACTTAACACAAGAGCACGCAAATTCAATTTCGGAGCGTTCAAGGAAATCAAGTAGTCTGTTTACGTTTTGTGTGCTTCCATCGGGTTTCCTTAAAGTTCGATCTTGTCTGTCGTCGAAAATGGACGTCTTTTGACAGAAAATTCATGAGTGTTGTATAACATGTGATTGTGATTGTGTCCGGTTGTCCTTTTATTGTGAATAGACTCGTACTTGCTTTCTATTAAACAGAATGGATAGGAACATGATACCTACAATACCCAAGGGGTTCAGATCTGTTGCCACATTGGACCATGCTGTAGTGCTCACATCTCTGCGTGTCAGGGTTGTACAGTTGTGGGTAGTTACATTCCTGTAGGTGTGCCTCCCAAGAGTAGCGATGTCTTACCACGGTGGGCGCGCTACAGTTGTAGTACTGGGCACACTTCGTGGGATGGGCAATCAGGTTCTTCCCCGTCGTCGTGCAGACGTTGCTAGAAGCGGCATCTTGAACAGGTTAGTTTGTAGATGAATTTGAACAGTGCCACCAAACATTCCTCAACTATTGGTTGGTTTGTTGTTTAACGCCCACTCAGCAATATTCCAGCTATATGGCTGCGGTCTGCGAATAATCGTGTCTGGACCAGACAATCCAGTGATCAACATCATGATAATCGATCTACGCAATTGGGATACGACGACATGTGTCATCCAAGTCAGTGACCCTGACCACCCGATCCCGTTAGTCGTCTCTTACGACAAGCATGAGTTACTGAAGACCAATTCTAACCTGGATCTTCACGGGTCTCCTCAACTATTGGTCCTCCTACCCTCTGTCGCCTTCGTTGACCACTGCATTATTCCATCCACCCAAACCTAACCAACAATCAATGCTCAACGTCTACCTATCTCGTAACCTTAACCTTTCTCAGAACAATTAATGCTCAATACCGCATCAATCTCTCCGCTGTACCCTTTCTCGACAAAGTTCAATGCTCACCACCACACTGCTTCCTCCACCTTTTTCAACAACGTTCAACACTCTCCACCCTTGACATTTTAACATCACCTCCACATCCCTCTGTTTTTCAACATCCCTTCTCACAGGAACGATCAAGGTTCCATATCGCATCATTCACTCCACCCTAAACCTTCTGAAGAGGTCAATGGTTCGCATCACAACCTGACACCTCTACTCAACAACTGTCAAGGTTCACACGTACTTATCTTTCCTTTCACCCGCGTCACACAGCGACAATCAACGCTCACCCGCGCACGCCTCTCTGAACCATGTGTAGTCGGGGTAGAATGTGTCCTCAGAACCCTATTGGTGGTGGGAAAGGGTGACCACCTTTGGTAACCTGTTTGCCTTGGTTGCGCCTCTGTGTCTGTGGAGGACAGGAGTCTGGTGTTTAGGAGCACTGGTCCGTATTAAGTGTTTGCCCAATACACCCCTGCTTTGCCGAGACGGGTAGTAAAATGGGAGCGGTTATGTTTATCTGCTTGTCATGCCAGGCCCCCTGCATTTCACGACATATACTATTAAGTAGTTGATTTATCTTTTAAGAACTTGGCATCAAATTGTTCCAAAATATAAACATTGGTAAATGTGTAGAATAGATTAGTTAGTTTGCCCGGCGTTTCAATGCCCAGAAGACGATGGTTTATGGGCCAGTCTGGTGGGATCTTCAAGACATATTTCTACTTGGGTATAGCCTTCTGGTATCCTTAGTGCCATCTGTTGGAGACTGACAGATTTGAAGCATCGCCCTTGTTGACACTCCGTGGTGGTGGGAAGCCAGCTGGATGAAGCATATGTAATACTAACATGGCACCCCTTACAAAAAGCGGTGTTATGAAGCCGACGATTTGCTCTATTCGGAGGCTGAAGAACCATCAGCACCTGTAATAAATCTTGATAATTGTTCAAGATTTCCGTTCATGTCTGCTATTGTCGGTAATCTTCTCAAGTTGCATCCGTTTGCCATGGCAAAGGGTGTTAAAGGTTTAGCAGGTGTAGTGAAAGAGGTTACATAGCATACCTTCTTGATGTCGAATGAGTGCCTATACGAGGGGCGTTCAAAAAGTAGTCTCACCTAGAAAATGATACAAATGCAGCTGTTTTCATGGTTTATTTTTCTAGATATTATCTGTCAACCTCAAGCAAAGTGGTTTTGCTATGTTCCAGCATCACGATCCCAATTTTGTTTTACTTTTTATCTTGGCCCCTCGTACAGTCACAGATTTCCTTTCTACAAAATCACTGGCATATGTTCATTTGAGGTTTCTTCTCACGGGATGTCGCATGCAGAAAATGTCCGTGATGAAATGTATTACCTTTCGGACACGACAGAGACGCCAAGGTGGCATCGACTTCAAACGCTTCACGTCGAAAGACAATAACGAGCCAAACACGTTTACATTTGGTCTCAAGCTGGCTACTGTAATTGAAGGACGTTTGCTTTCATTCCTAATGTCCTGAGATATCACAGTTGTCAGAGAGTAGTGCCAAGGAATCAAGGCGAATTCAATTCATAATCGAACTTTTATTGATGAGGTTGAACAAGCGAGGATGGCAAATGTCGTGACCAACTCACTGCTTGTGTCAACGACTCTTTAGTCATCCCTCCTCACCCAAGAAATGCCCCACATAGATTACAGTCAAAGGTCTCGAGAGAAGTGAATGAGTGAGTAAGTATGGTTTTACGTCGCTTTTAGCAATATTCCAGCAACATCACGTCGGGGTCACCAGAAATGGGCTTCACACATTGTACCCTCGTGGGGAATCGGACGCGGGCCTTCGGGGTGACGATCGAAGGCTTTAACAACTTGGCTACCCCGCCACCCCATGTAGGGAGTAAAACATGACCGTAATTCAAGTTTTCTGGCAGCAAAGAAGGTTCTTCTAGCTCAAGAACAATCCCATATCATTGCGCTTCAGCTCCTCCAACGGTGTCAATACCAAAACTGTGTTTCGCTTAAAACAATTGGGGCGGTTGGATAGCTTAGTGGTTAAAGCTTTCGCTCGTCACACCGAAGGCCCGGGTTCGATTCCTCACCTGGGTACAATATGTGAAGCCCATTTCTGGTGTCCCCTCCATGATTTTCCGCCATATAGCTGGAATATTGCTGAGTGTGGCGTAAAGCTAAACTCACTCACTCACCCTCCATGATTTTGCTGGAATAGTGCTACAAGCGGCGTAAAACCAAACTCACTCAAAACAATTGGTTGGCAGATCGATTACACGTGGGCAAAGTCTTCTGTTCATACTTCGCTATTTGCTTCAGTTCAAGTGAAACCTCCTCAAGAGACCGCACTGATCCATTCCACTTTGCAAACAATCATTTAATCTTGTAAAAAAGTGTTAATCTTCATCTGAGACACAACCATCAGCACAATCAGCTCAGCTACACAAATCCGGAAAAAAATGTGAAACAAATTGCAAAAATCAAATTACAATCTAGAACTGTACCTTCTAAAATTAACAAAAGTGGCAGTGCCTAAAAAAGGGGGAAATAGGCAGGTCTAACTCCTTAATATTACGGCCTGGAAGGAAGGAAGGCTACAGGTTTATCTTCAGCAACCCATGCTTGCCACAAAAGGCGACTATGTTTGTCATAAGAGGCGACTGACGGGATCGGGTGGTCAGGCTCGCTGACTTGGTTGACACATGTCATCGGTTCCTAATTGCGCAGATCGATGCTCATGCTGTTGATCACTGGATTGTCTGATCCAGACTGGATTATTTACAGACCGCCGCCATATAGCTGGAATATTGCTGAGTGCGGCGTAAAACTAAACTCACTCACCCACTCAACAACAACAATAAACGCTAATCGGCCCATCCCTTCTCAAAAGCAACAATTAACGCTAATCAGCGCACCCCTCTCTCCTGTCCTCTCCTCAACAACAACAATTAACGCTAACCAGCGCACCCTCTCTCCTTCTGTCCTCTCCTTCTGTCCTCTTCTCAACAGCAACAATTTACACTTATCAGCGCACCCCTCTCTCCTTCTGTCTGATCAAGGCCCACCAAGCTACCCTCTCTCCATCCTTCCTCTTGCCAACAACAACAATTAATGCTAATTATCTTCCCTTTTTTTTTTTGTCAACGGCACTGATCAAGGCCCACCATCGCATCCCACTCTTCACTCCTCATCTTCTCCCCAAAACGGGCAAGGACCACCTGTACCGCCACCCTTTCTCAACCCTTCATCTTCAAAACAGCAACATCTACTCGTTTTTCAACAATCAACCCTCACATCCAAACACCTCTCTCCACCTCCTCAAACCCAGCCCCTCCCTTTAAAGAAAGAGAGTGAATGAGTGAGTGAGTTGGGTTTTACGCCGCTTTTACTAATATTCCAGCAATATCACGGCGGGGGACACCAGAAATGGACTTTACACATTGCACCCATGTGGGGAATCGAACCCGGACCTTCGGTGTGACGAGCGAACGCTTTAACCACTGTACTACCCCACCGCCCCCTTTAAAGAACGATGTGACAATTTACAACTTACATAATATGTCCATGGCAATCACCATCACTATGAAAACAGGAAGCATCGTGATTGTTTATGTTCTAGTGTAGCCTGAAAATATCAATCAGTTATAATCAGTAGGAATAATAGTGTTTAGTGATTATTGGTTTCGCTCTGTAACAATTGTTTAATTTTAAAACACTCCCAATTCGTTTAAATATATAACAACTTTATGTTATTGTAAAACAGATAACATCTTTATGTTTCTCTCAGTTAATCAATCAATCAATAAGTCAATCAGTTACTTAGTCAATCGGTGAATCAGTCAATCAGTTGATCAGCCAATCGGTGAATCAGTCAATCAGTTACTCAGTCAATCGGTGAATCAGTCAATCAGTTACTCAGTCAATCAGTGAATGCGTCAATCAGTTGATCAGCCAATCAGTGCATCAGTGAATCGGTCAATCAGTCAATCCATCAATCCGTCAATCTATCGATCAGTTACTAAGTCAATCAGTTCAGTCTAATCAATTTCGTTCAAGTACAAAGTGAGATAACATTAACTTTAACAATCAATCAATTGCTCACGCAACGATCATACCGACTCCTTCCCCATCAAATGATCTTAAGTCACTGCTAACGAAATGACAATACTGACTGTTTCCCCATCAAATGATCTTAAGTCACTGCTAACGAAATGACCATACTGACTGTTTCGCCATCAAATGATCTTAAGTCAGTGCTAACGAAATGACCATACTGACTGTTTCCCCATCAAATGATCTTAAGTCACTGCTAACGAAATGACCATACTGACTGTTTCCCCATCAAATGATCTTAAGTCACTGCTAACGAAATGACCATACTGACTGTTTCGCCATCAAATGATCTTAAGTCACTGCTAACGAAATGACAATACTGACTGTTTCGCCATCAAATGATCTTAAGTCACTGCTAACGAAATGACAATACTGACTGTTTCCCCATCAAATGATCTTAAGTCACTGCTAACGAAATGACCATACTGACTCCTTCCCCATCAAATGATCTTAAGTCACTGCTAACGAAATGAAAATACTGACTGTTTCGCCATCAAATGATCTTAAGTCACTGCTAACGAAATGACCATACTGACTGTTTCGCCATCAAATGATCTTAAGTCACTGCTAACGAAATGACCATACTGACTGTTTCCCCATCAAATGATCTTAAGTCACTGCTAACGAAATGATCATACTGACTCTTTCCCCATCAAATGATCTTAAGTCACTGCTAACGCAATGATCATACCGACTCCTTCCCCATCAAATGATCTTAAGTCACTGCTCAACGCAACGATCATACCGACTCCTTCCCCATCAAATGATCTTAAGTCACTGCTAACGCAATGACCATACTGACTCCTTTCCCCATCAAATGATCTTAAGTCACTGCTCAACGCAAATGACCATACCGACTCCTTCCCCATCAAATGATCTTAAGTCACTGCTCACGCAACGATCATACTGACTGTTTCCCCATCAAATGATCTTAAGTCACTGCAACGAAATGACCATACAAATGACTGTCACTGCCATCAAATGATCTTAAGTCACACTGCTAACGAAATGACCATACTGACTGTTTCGCCATCAAATGATCTTAAGTCACTGCTAACGAAATGACAATACTGACTCCTTCCCCATCAAATGATCTTAAGTCACTGCTAACGAAATGACCATACCGACTCCTTCCCCATCAAATGATCTTAAGTCACTGCTAACGAAATGACCATACCGACTCCTTCCCCATCAAATGATCTTAAGTCACTGCTAACGAAATGACCATACTGACTGTTTCCCCATCAAATGATCTTAAGTCACTGCTAACGAAATGACCATACTGACTGTTTCGCCATCAAATGATCTTAAGTCACTGCTAACGAAATGACCATACTGACTGTTTCGCCATCAAATGATCTTAAGTCACTGCTAACGAAATGACCATACTGACTGTTTCGCCATCAAATGATCTTAAGTCACTGCTAACGAAATGACAATACCGACTCCTTCCCCATCAAATGATCTTAAGTCACTGCTAACGAAATGACATACTGACTCTTCCCCATCAAATGATCTTAAGTCACTGCTAACGCAATGATCATACCGACTCCTTCCCCATCAAATGATCTTAAGTCACTGCTCACGAAACGATCATACCGACTGTTTCCCATCAAATGATCTTAAGTCACTGCTAACGAAATGATCATACTGACTCCTTCCCAATCAAATGATCTTAAGTCACTGCTAACGCAATGATCATACTGACTCCTTCGCCATCAAATGATCTTAAGTCATTCGCCATCAAATGATGTTAAGCCGTTATATCAAATGAGATACTGTAGAAAGAGGACTTACCGTAACTCCGATGCAGCGGTTATGGATTGAATTATGAGTTCTACATTATATAACAGGATGTGACACTCGTCATCACTCCTGCATCCAGCAAAGTGTTACCGCCAGATTCGATAACTGATAAGGTGTTAATAGTGTATGGACACATTGATTCAACAGCTGGGAAGAGTATTACGTTACATTGTCAACACCTTCAATACCACGGTGTACTTCAACATGATGAAGCTGACGGGTGTGTTTCTGTTTGTCAAGTTGGCTGGTTGGTTTGATGTTTAACACCGCACTCAGCAATATCCCAGCCATATGGCCGCGGTCTGTAAATAATCGAGTCTGGACCAGACAATCCAGTGATCAACAGCATGAGCATCGATCTGCACAATTGGGATACGATGACATGTGTCAACCAAATCAGCGAGTCTGACCTTCCGATTCCGTAAGTCGCCTCTTACGACGAGCATGTTTGTCAAGTGAATCATGCTATAAGTAACATTAATACGTAGGATACCCATGAAGAACTGGACTTCAGCATCCCATGCTTGTAAGAGGCGATTAACGGGATTGGGTGGTTATGCTCACTGACTCTATTCACGAGATGCCTGCTCCACTGGAGACAATTTTCCGGCGTCAACAGTGACTAGTCGTCTTCTACGGAAGTCGTAGAGGTCGTGGAACTGTTCTCGCAGATGCCCCTCTGTTGCTAGGTTTGGTATAAGTTGTAAGAGGCCCAATGTTGGAGGTGCGTAGTTCGAATTCATCAGTCTTAAAGTACGGTCGTTACTCGTGAGCGACCGATACGGGGACGGTCTATAACTTGTGTGTCTGAGAACGTCGTCTTTAGTGACAAAAGGTGTTTCAATGATTAGGCATACTCACAGCTCTCTATCTGTCTTTTTCCCCCGAGGCATGGCATGTCGAACTTGTACCAGAACGAAGACCTTTTAAATGGAACATTGCATTTTCCTCGAATATGTCACGCTTCTTGGAAATTTCGGTCAATTCGAACAATAACTGCTTGGTTCCTTTTCTTCGACCATTCTAACAAACTCTTTCTCTGGTTTAAATCCAAACCTTCGTTCATAAGATTACCAATGGAATAATCCATGTAACGATATTTTTTGCTTCTGAGTATATAACACGGAGTCTTCCTACTTCTTACCTATTGTATGTAATTTTGTAATAATATAGAAATATGCAATGTGTGTATTATATGTAACATATGCTATTTGTCAAATTTGTTATCAAAATAAATGACACATGTGGCGCAATGATAATAAATACCAGATTAAATACTAGTATCTGTAAAATGTTCGAAATGCGTTAGTTGTATATTCTCAATCACCTTAATGAGGGGACCTTCTGAGGGGGCATCACTGGGTCCCTGCTACTAAACAAACATGGTTGGGATTAACGGTTTGCCAGCTACATGCTACTTGCAAATTTCGTTCAATTCGAACAACAACTGCTTGGTTCCTTTTCTTCGCCCAATCTAAAACACTTTCTCGGGTTCAAATCCAAACATTCATTCACAAGATTACCAATGAAATACTGTAACAGTAACTTTTGCTTCTGAGTATATAACACGCACAACCTGTGATGACGCCATTATATCTGAACAGGACCTGTCACCTTTTGTGCTTACGTGACTTTTCACTATTCTTGATTGTATCGTTCAAAGTTTCTGACAGTTGTGATCCGGGTGTGTGGGCTATCAGATGTTTCACGTCATATTTACCTCAACGTTACGGTTTCCCATAACAATTTAGTATCTGTCGTTGTACACACGTTATGAATGTTGTCGTGGTAACAGGCCGATATACCGATAGCATCAAAACATAGAAACTTCCACACCGCTGTTTACATTAGATGGTAATACGTACCTGACAACTAATTATTGTTAAAACACAATGTAATGAACTTCCAATAAATCTAAACAGAAAAAAATGTAACTTTTATTTTTTTATTACACTGCCTAAAAATCAACATCTAAGCTAGATACTCCAGTGTCTAATTTCTTTAGTGAGTTAGTTTTACGCCACTTTTAGATTCCAACAATATCACGACGATGGAAACCAGAAATGATCTTTACACAATAACAACAACAAAAAAGCAGCATTCAGTCCAGACGTGTCAATCGTCGAACATGTCTGGGATATCATTGCGGGGCGCGTACGTCATCGTCAACAACCTTTAACCTCTCTCCACGAACTTGGCGCTGTCCAGCAGGAAGAGTGGGATGGAATGAATCAAACTGACAGTGGACATTTGATTACGAGTATGCCTCATCGACTCCGGGATTGTCTTGAGAACAGATGCGGATTCACGGGATATCGATATATTTGAGTTTTCATGGTAAATGACGTGATGGACAGTGGGGGCTTTGGCCAAACATCAAAATCTATGGTCATCTGAAAATATGACTAACGCAAAGTCAATGCCAGACGTCCTTGTTACAGTGTTAAACTACTTATTTCATTAAGAGTATAAAACGTCAATAGTTGTGACATCCATATATTGAATATCCCTACTAGTTTTGATAATAAAGTTGTGTTTTTTGGACACGCATTTAATATAAGAGAGTGAGTGAGTTTACTTTTTGCCGCTTTTTGCAATATTCCAGCAATATCACGGCGGAGGGCACCAGAAAATGGGCTTCACGCATTGTACCCATGTTGGGAATCGAACCCAGGTCCTCGGGGTGACGAGCGAACGCTTTAACCGCGAGGCTACCCACCACCCACATTTAATAATAATAGGGGTACGTTTACCCCTTACAGTAAGGTAGCCCCTGGGGATAATATTAGGGGTACGTTTGCCCCTTACGGTAAGGTAGCCCCTGAGGGTAACATTAGGGGTACGTTTACCCCCTTACGGCAAGGTAACCCCCAAGGGGTGAAGAGATGACAAATAACTGCATCGTTGATAAACTCTTTAATTTCCAGTTTCATTTTTAAAACAACATATATTTACTAACATTTGCAGGCGCGCAGTGTAGCGTCAAAGACCTTAGAATTGCCACACACCCCGGTGTAGACCAGCCTCTGATTCACGCACACAGTGTAGGACCCAGAGCCGGGGCGATTTGGGTAGGCGTTGAGGCCGTCAGGGCGGCCCCTGCAGGACGGGTTGTGGATGTAACAGGGCTGCCCGCAGTCCTTTCCCCCAAGACATGCATACCTGGCATAGTCACCTGGGAAAAAACATTATACCAGCCTGTAAATATTCTCGACAATCCGGTGATCAACATCATGAGCACCGATCTACGCAGTTGGGAATTTGGCGTTAAACAAACAACCGTTCATTCTTTTGGGTTCTGGGTAGAGGTTGGAGGCCAGGGCCTAGATTTTCGAAGCTCTCTTAGCGCTAAGGTAGTGGTAAGTGCCATACATTAACATTAAGTTACGGCTATCTTGGCGCCAAGAGAGCTTCGAAAATCTAGACCCAGAATACTTACATTTCCCGAGGGGTTCTGTTCTGTTGCCACACGTGACCATACTGCAGTGCTCACATCGCTGGGTGTCGGGGTTGTACAGTTGTGGGGGTTGACATTCCTGTAGGTTCCTCCCCCAGGTCCGTTTAGCGGCGGGGGCGCTGCAGTTGTAGTACTGGGCACATTTAGTGGGGTGGGCGATCAACGTCTGCGTCGTCGTCAGACAAATGGGGTTCACGTCGTCTTTGGGTGAAATCAGTGCTGATGCTAGAATGAGTTTGAAGTGACAGGTTGATACCAGTTTGTGAGTGAAGACTCTGAAGTCCACTCCACCCTTGTTACCGGCGACACCAAACACCCCCACCCTCATCTACCAAACCCCTCTCCCCCACGAATTCTCTTTACTATAACGTCCTACCTACTTACCCTACGTTAGGGACCGTACATAGTTTATGGCTAGGGGGTGATACTGACTTATATGGAGTAGCAAAATCAATGCCACGCCCACCCCCCTAATTTTAAGCAGAACAGAATGGATGACCCCTTTTCAAATCATCACCACCACTAGCCGTACATTATGAACGTTCCCTTAGCGTATACAAAGAGGTCACTCACTTACCCATTCCACCGACAAAACAAATCTCCCTCTTTTTCCATCCTGACAACGCACATACCAGACTTTACATCACACAAAAATAATGAAATAGCGAGGTCTGCTCACATGACTCCAGGGCGACCATCAGCGCCATCAGCAAGCACAATACCCGACACTCACACATCATGGGGCTGTAGATGGGATCCAAACGTCTACTAGAAAACAATTTAATGCATTACAATGCTGGAGTGGATATCGAAACGAAATTCCAGGTGTTGTATCTTAGACAGATAGATGTTACTCAAAGATGGGTATATTGTCTGAGATCTTAACGTCCACATGAAATGGAATTTAAAAAGTGAGGTCCATTAAGACTCCAACCACTTCCAGTATAATATGAAGGGCGAATTTCCTTATGTCCCATCTCATCCGTCATTATTATCTATTCTAAATATAATAAATGGAAAGTGTACAAATGCCACACACATACAAACACGCGCGCGGGCACGCACGCACGAACCCACATAAAAAAATATATGTACACATTCACACATACATGTAAGACTAAATTATATGTAAGCATTATTTACTAGTATTTGAAATTAGATGGAATATGTACACACACAAACACACACAAGCACATATATATAGCTGATGCTTTTTGCTGTAATGTCAATAAATACAGCCCACTCATTCAGTGACATGTTTTCAATGAGTGGTGTGATTCCATGCACGTTATCTCAGTAACCCATATAGATAGGGAAACCAAATGTGTTTTCAGGACATGAATGTCGTGGAGGAGTTAAAAAACAGGAACCAAATAGTGTTCTTTACTGTTATTGGGGATATTGATGACCAAGTCTTCCTGTTTCGAATCAAACATTTGTTACAATACATACCTTAACTCGATGGCTAAAATGACGTATGACGTATGACGTATAACCATAAAGGCCGGGCGGGAAAACAATGTTCAGCAAGTCCTAAATTGACACACAGAAGCAAGCTAAAAGCTAGCTATAATTTATATCAATAACATTTTATATCAATGACATGATAACGTACCATTGTGATCATGTGTTCATAACCTCACAAAATGGCTCAACAATTTACTTCCCATTGCATGTGTTCGTGACACTTGCCACTTGATATCATCGCTGTTTCCACCATATTCAAAATTAATATATTTTGTCGCTCATTTGGAATTTTGGAAATGTCATGCATGACTGCTCTTGACAAAATGGGTTTATTCCAATTCTATTCTGTTTTCTCACCCTTATCAGTTTTTACATTCTTCCAAAGAAAACATAAAACAAGCTTAACACACTGTGTAAAACATTTGACGGGTTCTCCTCGAATTGTCCACAACCGAGAACAAACACGTCAATTACAGTGAGTGAGTTTTACGCCGCTTTTAGCAATATTCCAGCAATATCACTTCGGGAGGACAGCAGAAATGGGGTTCGCACATCGTACCTATGTGGTGAGTGAGTGAGTTTAGATTTACCCCGCTTTTAGCTGTATTCCAGCAATATCACGGCGGCGTACCCAAGTGGGGAATCGAACCCGAACCCGGCGTGACTCTTTAACCACTTGACTACCCCACCGTCCCCGTCAATTACAAACCTAGCACCAAGTACATGGTGACTGGAAGTACATTGGGAAGAACACGAACAAAGAATTGGTGACTGAGTGAATGAGTTTAGTTTTACGCCGCACTCAGCAATATTCCAGCTATATGGCGGCGGTCTGTAAATAATCGAGTCTGGATCACAATCCACTGATCAACAGCATGATCATCGATCTGCGCAACTGGGAACCGATGACATGTGTCAACCAGTCAACCAAGTCAGCGAGCCTGACCACCCGGTACCGTTAGTCGCCTCTTACAACAAGCATAGTCGCCTTTTGTGGCAATCATGGGTTGCTGAAGACATATTCTATCCTGGATCTTCACTGGTAAAAGAATTGGTGCGGATGTGGACAAATGTAGATACTGTCTTTGATGGTGACACCAGAAATAGACACCATACATTGTTCCCACGTGGGAATCGAACTTGGGTCTTAAGCGTGACGAGAGAAAGCTTAAACCACTAAACTACCCATTCACCCTGTGGGCCGATTGAATTACAAGGGCAGATGAAGGTAAGGGGATCTGACGTTTATGGCGATGTTTCACTCTGTACCAGAAGATGCTTCTGATTATAAAGTTAAATCATCCCAGCATTCCAGCGCTGATTATTTTTGAAAGAGTAAAAAACATCAATGACACTGTTGAGGAGGAGTCGGTCTTAGTTTTCTAAACTCATTTACCCTTTGGTGGGATACAATTGGTCCATCCATTGTTTGCATAAGCTTTATTTTCCTTTCTTCAAAACAACCGATTTTTAATAAGCAACGCACATGCGAAGAGTTGCGTTAAACAAAACTGGCCCCGTTGTTAAACTGGGACACCTGCCATTGAAGACCAGTCGCTGATTGAAACAAACATGGTAGAAAGAAGTGTCCGGTTTATATTTGTCGGCGTGGGCGCCGTCGGCGAAGTTCCTACAGGAGGGGTAGGAGAAGTCACACCCTGGCCCACACTGCCGCGAACAAGGGAACAGGTCATACTCACCTGGAAACAAAATATATCCCATCCAGCTATAGTTGTCAACCTACCAATAATAAGGAGCTTCTCAGAAGTGTTCAAGGCACTTTGATAGGGTTTGAAAACCAATATGAGTTATAGTTTGATATCTTTGACACTAAAATCCTGCCAGTTCTATTGAAAAGTTATGAAGTTTATGGTATTTAAATGTAAAAAATATTGAAAAATACAGTAAGTAGCATATAAATTGTTTCATGATCAAAACTAGTGATATTGTATAAAGTGAATGCGGAAGACGCCACCGTTTCTTTTGTTGGGCATTTCAATAAATATATGAAAGTAAAATATTTAATAGTTTTTTTTGGGCTGAGCTGAAATGTGAAATTAAAGTTGGTCTGGCAACTTTTGTGAAGGGCTGGTAAGTTTTCAGAGTTACCAGTCCTGGTGTCTGGTAGAATTTTCCGTCAAGTTTCCTACACTGCATACATACATACATAAGCAAGCGAGCAAAAGAAAGTATAACACCTAATAATGTCAAACAAACAAATACCAACTTGCATTTTAATACAATGTATACACAAGGCAGACTGGCAGTACAAAGTACAGGCCAAGGTCAGTAGTTAGCAAACTAAGGGTATGAGGACACCCAACTGCATGTAATCTTCCATAGAGATTTGGTAGCCTCCCTGAATGCGAGAGGCTACCCATTAGGCTGACGTCACGAGGGGGAATCCCCCTCCCTCCCATACGTGAAACTAGGTCATAGCTCGCGTCCTTTATAGCGTGGGCCGACGCCATGATAAAAAAACTCAAGTCGTCCGTTTGTGTAATGACACGTGCGTGCGCAAATGCAAACCTATAGAGGGAAATAAACAACGACAATATGCAAGTTCTATACACATTATTTAATATCCCCGTGATGCCGAATGGACATGGGTCGGAGAGCCACCCCAAGCCACCCTTACAATCTATGTTTTATTAACATTTACATTTACAGTCTCTCTACATCGGAAGCTTAAATCCATGAATTCAACTTCTTAGGCCAGTGTAACCATTTCACAAAATATTGTTTGTTATGGCCTTTTCCTCTGGTCTTCAAAACTTCTACCACCTTCCAGGTATCGTTTTCTCTGACATCTACTTTCTGTAATTCGGATTGGTAGAAGGTTCCCTGGATTTCGTCACTACTATAATCCTTGACTCTATACACTGGTAGTCCACCTCTAAAGATTCTCTGATAAATGGTGAAATTTTCCCCAGTCCATTTTTCGTCGTTTTCTCTGCTAAAGATGTTCCTGAGATGACTTTAAAACGAAATGATTTAGTCTTTTTCACAACACCTTTCTTGGGCCAGTACATACGCCACCAAATAGTGGTTTCCTTGTCATTAGTCACTTTAGAGGGTGGCATGGTTCTATGCCATGTCTCATTATAACTGTTGGCAAAAGTCTGTAGTTTATCCGCAAATTCGTAAGACTGCTCAGGGAGACTATATAAGGGGGAGTGGTCACTCCTCGGAAAGCCCCTTAGCGTATGCCTCGGCTCGTCACGTGACCAGTGTAGCCAATATGGCGGCAGCTTGGTTTATAAGATTGAGCCCGGTTTATTTTCAACAGCTGATTTCATTCGCTGAGTGTTGTGACAGCTGAAAACCTACATGTAGAAGATAATCCTCATACCCTTAGTTTGCTAACTACTAAGGTCGGGTAGGCCACGTGTCACGACACCCTGCGAAGACCGACATCTGCGCACTCTCCACCTATATATATACTTGTTTCCTAACTGTGACGTCATCGGCAATGACGGGTTTGAATCATCATGTCAGCAGATAGACTGTGTCCAGACGACTACGTCATCGAGGCATCAGGTTGCGATGGGCACGAAACATTAGGCGTTGGCAACTGAGAGAATGGCAGAGTCTTATTCACCGAAGAAAGACGATTTGCACTATTCAGGTCAGATGGCAGAGCACGGGTGTACTGACGGAGAGGAGGACGGTACGCACCTGTCCACGCCTTTGGTGGAGGTGGAGTCACTGTTTGGGGCGGCATTTGTGGCCAAGAGAAGACGATACTACATATCGTTCATGAAAACATCAATGCTGTTTATTACAGGGATAACATCTTAAGGCCATTAGCCATACCATTCTTCCGTCAACGTCCCCAAGCAATCCTCCTGCAACACGACAACGCAAGACCACATGTCGCACGCCATGTCCATGGTTACCTTTAACAGCAGAACAATCTTAGGAGTATAGAAAAGAAGGGAGACAGGATACTTACACGCATCAAGGGGCTCAAATCTGCTGCCACATTGGACCATGCTGTAGTGCTCACATCTGTGTGTGTCAGGGTTGTACAGTTGTGGGTAGTCACATTCTTGTAGATTCTTTTCAATGCCGGGGTAGTATCTCCTAATGGCGGGAGCGCTGCAGTTGTAGTACCTGGCACAATTAGTGGGGTAGGGTATCAGCGTCTCCGTCGTCGTCTTGCAAATGGGGTTCACGTCGCTTGTTGGGACAATCAGAGCCGATGCTGGAATGAGTGGTTAGGGACAGGATAAATACCAGTTTGTAAATGAAGATTCTGAAATCCACTTCACTCCTTCTTGCCACTGGAACCCTGGTTCTCTCTCAAACTAATTCCTCTCGCCATCACTGCACCGACTCGCACTCACCGCACCCCCTCTCGACCTCACTGCACCCCTCGATACCGCACCCTCTCGACCTCACTGCACCCCCTCAGGCCCCACCGCACCCCTCTCGACATCACCGCACCCCTCTCGACCTCACTGCACCCCTCGATATAACCGCACCCCTCTCGACCTCACTGCACCCCTCTATATAACCGCACCCCTCTCGACCTCACTGCACCCCCCTCGATATAACCGCACCCCCTCTCGACCTCACTGCACCCCTCAGGCCCCACCGCACCCCGCTCGAAATTACTGCACCCCTCTCGACCTCACTGCACCCTACCCCCCCCCCTTCTACATCACTGCACCCCTCTCGAAGTAAGGATGTTTAAAGTTATAGACAATATATTTTTTCGAAACTGTTGTAAATGTGACGGACGGTACCTATCGTAACTTTCACAGAGAATACATTTCAGTGTTGAAAACTGAAAAAGCCGGGTGTTTCCCAATGACGTAACGGAATGTATGATTACGTTGTGAGGGCACATCATTTAGACTCGGGGTGGTTGGGCAGAGTTGTGGTTCATCACGCCGAAGACATGGGTCCGATTCCTCACATAGGTACTTTGTGTGAAGGCAATTTCTGGTGTCCCCCGCCGTGATATTGCTTGAACATTGCTAAAAGCGGCTTAAAACCACCACTCAATCACTGGCGAAGACCCGTCTGCCTGAGAGACTTTCCGAACAATGCTACATCTATGCTTCATGTTGACGTTTTGCTTATGTCAAAAGATCTCTCATCCCTCTCTCCCCCTAAGCTACCAACTACTCCGCACTATTCCACGCTCTCCCACACTCTCCACTCCGCTACTCTTTGACTAAGGGTAGGAGAGTAGTTAAACCATTCCCTCGTCGCATCAAAGTCCCTGGTTTGATTCTCCTCAGCCGCCCTAACGAACCTCATCTAACCTCCCTTACCTCGGTCAAGTACAACGCAGAAAACGACAAAAAACATTATACACACAGCACTCGACACAACACAAACAGACACATAATGTACACAGTAATCCACACCGCATGCGATACAGATAGCAAACGCAATTGAGCACAAAGAACATATAACCAAAAGACACGCACCACAACACACACAGCTCATTGAAAAGCTATGTCTGCTTACATGATTCAAGGGCGATCAGAATCGCCATCGTCAGCGCTTTCAGCAAACAAAACATCCGACACGCAAACATCCCGGTGTTGTAGATGAAATTCAAAGTCCCTGAAATATACATATGCGTGAATAGGTTAGAACTGATCTGGACTTGTATCTCAACTGATCTGAATTGATCTAGATAGTTTGTTTGTTTGTTGTGTAACGCCACACTCAGCAATATTACAGCTGTATGGTGGCAGTCTGTAAACAATCGACTCAGGACCAGACAATCCAGTGATCAACAGCATGAAAATCGATCTGCGCAATTGGAATGCGATTACACGTGTCAACCAAGTCAGCGAGCCCGACCACCCAATCCCGTTAGATGCCTCTCCGAAAAGCATGGGCTACTGAAAACCCCGATCTTCTCTATGATCTTCTCTATGATCTTCTATATGGCCTATTCTATGGTCTACTCTGTCTGCTCTTCTCGACGGCCTTCTCTATGATCTTCTCTATGATCTTCTCTCTGGTCTTCTCTATGGTCTCCTCTATGGTCTTCTCTATGATCTTCTCTATGGTCTTCTCTCTGCTCTTCTCTACGGCCTTCTCTATGCCTTCTCTATGATCTTCTCTATGGCCTTTTCTATGGTCTACTCTGTCTGCTCTTCTCGACGGCCATCTCTATGGTCTCCTCTGTGATCTACCGCTCCTGACAAAGATCAGCTGTATACATTGTACATACCTTTCAGAACCGAAGCCAACAAGGTGAACAGATACGTAGTAAGTATATTTATTGTGGCATGTCTGACTTACATGCCCCTAATGTATTGGCGGATTTAGATTTAATAGAAGTATCAGGCATATTTCCTCCCTCAGACACTTTCAATACAAACGTTTTTCGTTCATATTAAAAACCCCGATTTATTCTTAGAAAATAATCAAAGGCATACCTCCCAAATGTATTTTCGATAAAACAATATACACCAATAAAGATACGAATGTATATAGAACGAATGTAGTCTCACCTTAAGTGCTTTAAGTGCCACTGGGTGGGTGCTTGAGGGAGCACGAAGAATATACAGTTTCTCTAATGAAAATCTGTACAATATGGAATGACTGGTGCTCAATCCAGCTGCTTTGATGGGATATTTGTCAATCTTCAATACCGGATATAAATATCTTTGGAATGGGAAATGAGCATGTGGTTATCTTATCAGATATATTTTTTCATACATAAGCCCGTTTTAACCTGACGTAAAGGTTCCATTGTACATATACGCAGTTTAACACATGTATGCCAGCACTCTCACGCACACACGCACGTGCACGGAACTTCCTATGCATACACTTTGTATACACACATATTATACGTTTACCAATCATGTTCAAGATCTTATGTCCCTTTCTTTGCACTCCTCCCTCGTAACAAATAGAGAACTGTGTCAAAATTTTAAGGATAGTTTGTTAAACAACTTTTATATTTTTAGGACATAAATTCTGCAAACAAATCACAGAGTTGGTCTGATGTTTTGATTATGATCAGCGTTTCATTGAGTATTACATGTTTATTAGTTTTCGAGTTAGATTGCAATTCATCGGTCCGCTTTTGAGCCAAACGGACTATAGTGGGAACGACTACAATAAAAGGTTTGTAGGGCAGCCGACTTTCGATAACAGTTCGCTAGGACAAAAGGGGTTTCTTGCAGCTCTGTGTCCTGCTTTAAGTTTGTGTGATCTACCAATGACTACATCATGGGGTGACTTAAAACATTCATGGTTTTCAGTTGTTGTCATCAATTATCAACCTCCTTAGTAAAACTCTGGAATTCTGTTTACAGCCAATGATCAACACCAAGTATAAACTCACATATGAATAAGTTGTCTTGCACATAGCTGGAACATGCATGGCTTGTGTTTGTGCGGGTAGGTACGTGGGTGTTTGTGTGGGAGGTGCTTTTGGTAGTTATGAGATACGCTTCGCGCTTCTTGGACGATGAATACGCAGTTCCCGAACCACAGCCTTTATCACGTCTGTAAATAATCGGGTCTGGACCGGACAATCCAGTGATTAACAGCATCAGCATTGATCTACGCAAATGGTAACCGATGACATGTGGCAACCAAGTCAGCGAGCCTGACCACCCGATCCCGTTAATCGCCTCTTACGACAAGCATGGGTTACTGAAGATCAATTCTAACCCGGATCTTCACGGGCAGTAACTGACAATTCACAACCTCTTAATGATTTAAATGGAAGTGTATCTTTGAAAAATGAGCATGTGGTTATCTCAAGAGCAGATATGGTTTTTCATATACAAGGATTATAATTAACTCTCAATATATTGCAGAGCGCCTGTTGTACCTGCACCAATGAACACAACTGATTGGTTGTTATTTAACGCCGCACTCAGCAATATTCCAGTTATATGGTGGCGGTCTGTAAATAATCGAGACCAGACAATCGATTATCGTTGGGATACGATGACATGCGTCAATCAAGTCAGCAACCCTGAGCACCCGACCCCGTTAGTCCCAGGCGAAGGGATACAGGCATTAGTGGCTATCGCGGGTAAAGGTTTTGACCCAATCGTCGTGAAGTGTGTCTACGTCATGGTTGTCAACAACTCTTCACAGACAAGTTGGGGCGGTGGGGTAACCTGATGGTTAAAGCGTTCGCTCGTAACGCCGAAGACCCGGTTTCGATTCCCCAAATGGGTGCAATTGTGAAGGCCATTTCTGGTGCCCCCCGCCGTGATATTGCAGGATTATTGCTAAAAGCGGCGTAAAACCATACCCACTCACTCACTCACAGACAAGTTAAATGTCAGTATATATTTTAACATGTACTCAAATAGTCAAAACATCATAGCAATATCGTCTATGGAATGGATAGTGGCATGTGAGTATCATATTTCGAATCAACCTTTGTTAAAATAGATATCATAACGAATACCAAACTTTGACTCATCTATGGCTAAACTGGTATAACCATTTTCTTGTGTTTTTTGTCAACAATTGACTTGCCATTGCATGTGTTCGTGACATGTGCCACTTGATCACCGCTATCTGATGCTGATTCATAAACATCTTGTTTGTCACTCATTTTGAAATTTTGTAATGTTCAAATGTCATGCGTGACCACCATCGTTTGGATGATGTCTGCTCTGGACAAATGGATATATTCCAATTTTGCCTCCTCCTTTTCAGTTTCTGCATTCTTCCTTGTTATGGATTAAGGTGAGGTGAGTAAAATATTTCGTTCATATGACGACGTACATGAGTGTGAATGTGTGAATGTGTATGTGCGGCTGCTTGTACTAGCTGGTTTTATAGTGCTAGCCCACTGAGATACCACGCCGCAGTGAAGCATGAATACCCCACTCAGACACATTATACTGACTCCGAGCCGATCAGTCCTTGTTGTACCCATAAATGCCGAGCGCCAGGCAGGGACCAACAAGTACCATATTTCAACGTCTTTTGGTATGACGCGATCGGGGATCGAACCCGCGACGTTCCGCTCTCCGGGCGGACGCTCTAACCACTACACCACGGAGGCGGTCTTATGGATCAAGAGTGAGTGTGTGAGTATGCTTTTCACGACCAAAACAATAGATGCGGACAAATGTGTTGAAGTTAAAGTCCTTGTTGTGGATTAAGAGTGAATTTAGTTTTGCGCCGCATTTCGCAATATTCCCGCAATATCATGGCGGGGACACCAGGAATGGGCTTCATCTGGGAAATCCAACCCGAATCACTGGGCTATCAAATTTCTTATAAAAATAAATGACCCATGTGGTGCAATGACAATAAATATCAGATTAAATATCTGTAAATGTTGGACATGTGTTTGTTGTATATTCTCAATCACCTTGATGAGGGGACCTTCTGAGGGAGCATCACTGGCAAATATTTTTGAGACGGTCCCTGCTACTAAACAAACATGGTGGGGATTAACGGTTTGCCAGCTACATGCTACTTGCAAATTTCGTTCAATTCGAACAACAACTGCTTGGTTCCTTTTCTTCGCCCAATCTAAAACACTTTCTCGGGTTCAAATCCAAACATTCATTCACAAGATTACCAATGAAATACTGTAACAATAACTTTTGCTTCTGAGTATATAACACGCACAACCTGTGATGACGCCATTATATCTGAACAGGACCTGTCACCTTTTGTGCTTACGTGACTTTTCACTATTCTTGATTGTATGGTTCAGTTTCTGTCAGTTGTGATCCAGGTGTGTGGGCTATCAGATGTTTCACGTCATATTTACCTCAACGTTACGGTTTCCCAAAACAACTGATTAGTATCTGTCGTTGTACACACGTTATGAATGTTGTCGTAGTAACAGGCCGATATACCGATAGCATCAAAACATAGAAACTTCCACACCGCTGTTTACATTAGATAGTAATACGTACCTGACAACTAATTTTTGTTAAAACACAATGTAATGAACTTCCAATAAATCTAAACAGAAAAAATGTAACTTTTAATTTTTTATTACACTGCCTAAAAATATACATCTAAGCTAGATATTCCAGTGTCTAATTTCTTTAGTGAGTTAGGTTTACGCCACTTTTAGATTCCAACAATATCACGACGATGGACACCAGAAATGATCGTTACACAATAACAACAACAAAAAACAGCATTCAGTCCAGACGTGTCAAGCGTCGAACATGTCTGGGATATCATTGCGTGACGCGTACGTCATCGTCAACAACCTTTAACCTCTCTCCACGAACTTGGCGCTGTCCAGCAGGAAGAGTGGGATGGAATGAATCAAACTGACAGTGGACATTTGATTACGAGTATGCCTCATCGACTCCGGGATTGTCTTGAGAATAGATGCGGATTCACGGGATATCGATATATTTGATTTTCATGGTAAATGACGTGAAGGACAGTGGGCGCTTTGGATAAACATCAAAATCTATGGTCATCTGAAAATATGACTAACACAAATTAAATGTCAGATGTCTTTGTTACAGTGTTAAACTACTTATCTCATTAAGAGTATAATACATCAATAGTTGTGACATCTATATATTAAATATCACCTACTATTTTTGATTATATAGTTGTGTTTTTGGACACGCATTTAATATTAGTGAGTGAGTGAGTTTATTTTTTTGCTGCTTTTTGCAATATTGCAGCAATATCACGGCGGAGGGTACCAGCAAATGGGCTTCACACATTGTACCCATGTTGGGAATCGAACCCGGGTCTTCGGCGTGACGAGCGAACGCTTTAACCGCCAGGTTAATCCACCGCTCCGCATTTAATATTGAGGATACGTTTGCCCCATAAAGGCAAGGTAACCCCCAGGGGTAATATTAGGGATACGTTTACCCCTTACGGTAAGATAGCCCCTAGGGGTAACATTAGGGATACGTTTACCCCTTACGGAAAGGTAACCCCTGAGGGTAATATACGGGGTACGTTTATCCCATACGGAAAGGTAACCCCCAGGGGTGAATAGATGACCAATAACTGCATCGTTTATAAACTCTTTAATTTCCAGTGTGATTTTTAAAACAACATATATTTACTAACATTTGCAGGAGCGCAGTGTAGCGTCAAAGATTTTAGAATCGCCACACACCCCGGTGTAGACCAGCCTCTGATTCACGCAAACAGTGTAGGATCCAGAGCCGGGGCGATTTGGGTAGGCGTTGAGGCCGTTGGGGCGGCCCCTGCAGGAGGGTGTGTGGATGTAACAGGGCGGCCCGCAGTCCTTTCCCCCAAGACATGCATACCTGGCATAGTCACCTGGAAAAAACAACATAATACCAGCCTGTAAATATTCTCGACAATTCGGTGATCAACATCATGAGCATCGATCTACACGCAGTTGGGAATTTGGCGTTAAACAAACAACTGTTCATTCTTTTGGGTTCTGGTTGGAGGCCAGGGCCTAGATTTTCGAAGCTCTCTTAGCGCTAACATAGTGGTAAGTGCCATACATTAACATTAAGTTACGACTATCTTAGCGCTAAGAGAGCTTCGAAAATCTAGGCCCAGGATACTTACATTTCCCCAGGGGTTCTGTTCTGTTGCCACACGTGACCATACTGTAGTGCTCACATTGCTGGGTGTCGGGGTTGTACAGTTGTGGGGGTTGACATTCCTGTAGGTTCTTCTCCCAGGTCCGTTTAGCGGCGGGGGAGCTGCAGTTGTAGTACTGGGCACATTTAGTGGGGTGAGCGATCAGCGTCTGCGTCGTCGTCAGACAAATGGGGTTCACGTCGTCTTTGGGTGAAATCAGTGCTGATGCTAGAATGAGTTTGAAGTGACAGGTTAATACCAGTTTGTGAGTGAAGACTCTGAAGTCCACTCCACCCTTGTTACCGGCGACACCAAACACCCCCCACCCTCATCTACCAAACCCCTCTCCCCCACGCTGCTCATAACACCCCTCTTTCCACCCACCCCCATTTACCAACCCGTTCTTATTTCCAGAGGGAGCGGTGGGGTAGCCTTGTGGTTATAGTGCTAATCAGCTGAGAGGTATCAATTCTCTTTACTATAACGTCTAACCTACTTACCTTACGTTAGGGACCGTACATAGTTTATGGCTAGAGGTGATACTGACTTTTATGGAGTAGCAAAATCAATGCCACCCCCACCCCACCCCTAATTTTAAGCATAATCTTTTAATATCCTCATGTCCACAATTTGCTGACCCTCTTCCCCAAGTACATGTGAACAAAATTGAAGACCCCCTACCTCTCCAGAACAGAATGGATGACCCCTTTTCAAATCATCACCACCACTAGCCGTACATTATGAACGTTCCCTTAGCGTATACAAAGCGGTCACTCACTTACCCATTCCACCGACAAAACAAATCTCCCTCTTTTTCCATCCACACAACGCACATAACAGACTTTACATCACACAAAAATAATTAAATAGCGAGGTCTGCTCACATGACTCCAGGGCGACCATCAGCGCCATCAGCAAGCACAATACCCGACATTCACACATCATGGGGCTGCAGATGGGATCCAAACGTCTACTAGAAAACAATGTAATGCATTACAATGCTGGAGTGGATATCGAAACGAAATTCCAGGTGTTGTATCTTAGACAGCTAGATGCTCCTCAAAGATGGGTATATTGTCTGAGATCTTAACGTCCACATGAAATGGATTTTAAAAAGCAAGGTCCATTAAGACTCCAACCACTTCCAGTATAATATAAAGGGCGAATTTCCTTCTGTCCCATCTCATCCGTCATTATTATCTATTCTAAATATAATAAATGGAAAGTGTACAAATGCCACACACATACACACACGCGCGCGTTCGCGCACGCACGCACGAACTCAGATACAAAAAATATATGTACACATTCACACATACATGTAAGACTATATTATATATCAGCATTATTTACTAGTATTTGAAATTAGATGGAATATGTACACACACAAACACACACAAGTACATATATATATTACATAGATATACATATATATATGCATACATATGAGCATTATCTATACGAAAATTAGATGGAACGTGTACCCACACAGATAGACAGACAGACACACAGACACACAGACAGATAGATAGATATTTATGTACAACACATATCATTCAAAGGTCAGATTTATAGGTGAGCATATATTAAGAACGAAGTTTAAATGGCGAAAATATAAGTATGCATCAAATATAATTCTTCTGACATGCATTAGCTGAATATTATTCCACTTCCTTCTAATTATTGTATGCAGTCTGGTACATATAACGAAATAACGTTTACCTTCACAACTCTGAATCTGCTACAGGACAGGTGCTGGTGGTAGTTATGAGATCCGCACCTCGCTTAATGGACGAAGAGAAAAATACGCCGTTCCCACAGCCGTTATCAGACAGGGCAGAACATGGAAGAATTGTTACACAGTAATGTTTTCTTCACTCGCCGTCACGTAATTTAACCGACGATTCACAAGCTCTTGAAGATTTTAATGATAGGATGTATACACGAGAAACGACCATGTGGTTATCTAAGGAGCAGATATGGTTTTTCATTTGCAAGGATATTTTAACTCTCCATGTGGTGTAGAGCTCCCTTCACCAATGAACACAAACACGGGCACCGAGACAGGCTAGCATCAGTTGCACAGTCTTTATCTATCTCAGGTACGGGTTAAGGTGTTGCCCCAGATGTCGTGAAGTGTGTCTACGTCATGGTTGTCAACAGCTCTTCACAGACAAGTTAAATGGCAGTGTATAGTTTGACAAGCTTGCTCACACTAACATATAACACAAACATCACCAATTACAGTCGCAGTAATTCTGTCTGTATTTCAGAATAACCAGTTACACCACTCTATTTTATTATCTCCCGCCACGAAGTTGGAGGGGGTTATTGGTTTCAGCTCCGTCCATCCGTCCGTCCCTCCCTCCCTCCCAGATGCTGGGGACAGATTTTCTCAAAAACCGTTAAAGGTAGGGAAACCAAATGTGGAATGTATTTTCAGGACATAAATCCTTGATTAAATCCGAAAACGGAAACCGTTTTACGCTTCTTTACAGATTTAGGACCCTTGTCATGAATGAATGAATGAATGAATGAATGAATGAATGAATGTGCTTTATTTCCTTCATTAAGACGGAGAGTACATATATGAAAACATCTTAGGATATAATATTAAATATATTTACATATTCAAACATAGTCTCTGGCATAGCCTCTGACATAATCTCAGCTTCACAGATACAGCAGGGCTTTGAGGTTCCAGGAGCTGATGCTTTTTGCTGTAATGTCAATAAATACAGCCCACTCATTCAGTGACATGTTTTCAATGAGTGGTGTGATTCCATGCACGTTATCTCAGTAACCCATATAGATAGGGAAACCAAATGTGTTTTCAGGACATGAATGTCGTGGAGGAGTTAAAAAAAAGGAACCAAATAGTGTTCTTTACTGTTATTGGGGATATTGATGACCAAGTCTTCTTGTTTCGAATCAAACATTTGTTACAATACATACCTTAACTCGATGGCTAAAATGACGTATGACGTATGACGTATGACTTATGACGTATAATCATAAAGGCCGGGCGGGAAAACAATGTTCAGCAAGTCCTAAATTGACACACAGAAGCAAGCTACAAGCTAGCTATAATTTATATCAATAACATTTTATATCAATAACATGATAACGTACCATTGTGATCATGTGTTCATAAGCTCACAAAATGGCTCTGAAAATGCATTTCTGCAGAGGTTTCTAGCAGAATGACGTATGACGTATGACGTATGACGTATGACCATATTTTCGCTTGTATCGTCAACAATTGACTTGCGATTGCATGTGTTCGTGACATGTGCCACTTGATATCATCGCTGTTTCCACCATATTCAAAATTAATATCTTTTGTCGCTCATTTGAAATTTTGGAAATGTCATGCATGACTACTCTAGACAAAATGTGTTTATTCCAATTCTATTCTGTTTTCTCATCCTTATCAGTTTTTACATTCTTCCAAAGAAACATAAAACAAGCTTAACACACTGTGTAAAACATTTGACGGGTTCTCCTCGAATTGTCCACAACCGAGAACAAACACGTCAATTACAGTGAGTGAGTTTAGTTTGACGCCGCTTTTAGCAATATTCCAGCAAAATCACTTCGGGAGGACAGCAGAAATGGGCTTCACACATCGTACCCATGTGGTGAGTGAGTGAGTTTAGATTTACGCCCCTTTTAGCTGTATTCCAACAATATCACGGCGGCGTACCCAAGAGGGGAATCGAACCCGAACCCGGCGTGCCTCTTTAACCACTTGACTACCCCACCGTCCCTGTCAATTACTAACCTAGCACCAAGTACATGGTTACTGGAAGTACATTGGGAAGAACACGAACAAAGAATTGGTGACTGAGTGAATGAGTTTAGTTTTACGCCGCACTCAGCAATATTCCAGCTATATGGCGGCGGTCTGTAAATAATCGAGTCTGGATCAGACAATCCAGTCATCAACAGCATGATCACCGATCTGCGCAATTGGGAACCGATGACATGTGTCAACCAAGTCAGCGAGCCTGACCACCCGGTCCCGTTAGTCGCCTCTTACGACAAGCATAGTCGCCTTTTGTGGCAAGCATGGGTTGCTGAAGACATATTCTATCCCGGATCTTCACGGGTAAAAGAATTGGTGCGGATGTGGACAAATGTAGATACTGTCTTTGATTGTGACACCAGAAATAGGCGCCATACATTGTTCCCACGTGGGAATCGAACTTGGGTCTTAAGCGTGACGCGGGGGAAAGCTTAAACCACTAAACTACCCCTTCGCCCTGTGGGCCGAGTGAATTACAAGGGCAGATGAAAGTAAGGGGATCTGACGTTTGTGGCGATGTTTCACTCTGTCCCCAGAAGATGCTTCTGATTATGAAGTTAAATCATCCCAGCATTCCAGCGCTGATTATTTTTGAAAGAGTAAAAGACATCAATGACACTGTTCAGGCGGTTTTAGTTTTCTAAACTCATTAACCCTTTGGTGGGATACAATTGGTCCATCCATTGTTTGCATAAGCTTTATTTTCCTTTCTTCAAAACAACCGATTTTTAATAAGTAACGCACATGCGAAGAGTTGCGTTAAACAAAACTGGCCCCGTTGTTGGATCGGGGCACCTGCCATTGAAGACCAGTCGGTGATTGAAACAAACATGGTAGTAAGGACTGTCCGTTTTATATTTGTCGGCGTGGGCGCCGTCGGAGAAGTTCCTACAGGAGGGGTAGTAGAAGTCACACTCTGGCCCACACTCATGCACACAAGGGAACAGGTCATACTCACCTGGAAACAAAATATATCCCATATCCATCCACCAATAATATGAAGCTTCTCAGGAGTGTTCAAGGCACTTTGATAGGGTTTGAAAAGCAATATGAGTTATAGTTTGATATCTTTGACACTAAAATCCTGCCAGTCCATTGAAAAGATTTGAAGTTTATGGTATTTAAATGTAAAAAATATTGAAAAATACAGTTAGTAGCATATGAATTGTTTCATGATCAAAACTAGTGATATTGTATAAAGTGAATGCGGAAGACCCCACCGTTTCTTTTGTTGGGCATTTCAATAAATATATGAAAGCAAAAATATTTAATAGGGGTATTTTTTCTGAGCTGAAATGTGAAATTAAAGTTGGTCTGGCAACTTTTGTAAAGGGCTGGTAAGTTTTCAGAGTTACCAGTTACCAGGGAAATAAACAACGACAATATGCAAGTTCTATACACATTATTTAATTTTCAAAATTTCACCATTTATCAGAGAATCTTTAGAGGTGGACTACCAGTGTATAGAGTCAAGGATTATAGTAGTGACGAAATCCAGGGCACCTTCTACCAATCCGAATTACAGAAAGTAGATGTCAGAGAAAACGATACCTGGAAGGTGGTAGAAGTTTTGAAGACCAGAGGAAAAGGCCATAACAAACAATATTTTGTGAAATGGTTACACTGGCCTAAGAAGTTTAATTCATGGATTTAAGCTTCCGATGTATAGAGACTGTAAACGTAAATGTTAATAAAACATAGATTGTAAGGGTGGCTTGGGGTGGCTCTCCGACCCATGTCCATTCGGCATGCACGGGGATATTAAATAATGTGTATAGAACTTGCATATTGTCGTTGTTTATTTCCCTCTATAGATTTGCATTTGCGCACGCACGTGTCATTACACAAACGGACGACTTGACTTTTTTCATCATGGCGTCGGCCCACGCTATAAAGGACGCGAGCTATGACCTAGTTTCACGCATGGGCGGGAGGGGGATTCCCCCTCGTGACGTCAGCCTAATGGGTAGCCTCTCGCATTCAGGGAGGCTACCAAATCTCTATGGAAGATTACATGCAGTTGGGTGTCCTCATACCCTTAGTTTACTAACTACTAAGGTCGGGTAGGCCACGTGTCACGACACCCTGCGAAGACCGACATCTGCGCACTCTCCACCTATATATATATACTTTTTCCTAACTGTGACGTCATCGGCAATGACGGGTTTGAATCATCATGTCAGCAGATGGACTGTGTCCAGACGACTACGTCATCGAGGCATCAGATGTCAGCGACCTCTACGTGGCATCAAGTTGACTCCTCAACATCGTCTCAACAGGTTGCGATGGGCAAGAAACGTTAGGCGTTGGCAACTGAGAGAATGGCAGAGTCTTATTCACCGAAGAAAGTCGATTTGCACTATTCAGATCAGATGGCAGAGCACGGGTGTACTGACGGAGAGGGGGGCGGTACGCACCTGTCCGCGCCTATGGTGGAGGTTGAGTCACTGTTTGGGGCGGCATTTGTGGCCAGGAGAAGACGATACTACATATCGTTCATGAAAACATCAATGCTGTTTATTACATGGATAACATCTTAAGGCCATTAGCCATACCATTCTTCCGTCAACGTCCCCAAAGCAATCCTCCTGCAACACGACAACGCAAGACCACATGTCGCACGCCATGTCCATGACTACCTTCAACAGCAGAACAATCTTAGGAGTATAGAAAAGAAGGGAGACAGGATACTTACATGCATCAAAGGGCTCAAATCTGTTGCCACATTGGACCATGCTGTAGTGCTCACATCTGTGTGTGTCAGCGTTGTACAGTTGTGGGTAGCGACATTCTCGTAGATTCTTTTCAATGCCGGAGTAGTAGGGCAATATGGCGGGAGCGCTGCAGTTGTAGTACCTGGCACAATTAGTGGGGTAGGGTATCAGCGTCTCCGTTGTCGTCTTGCAAATGGGGTTCACGTCGCTTGTTGGGGCAATCAGAGCCGATGCTGGAATGAGTGGTTAGGGACAGGATAAATACCAGTTTGTAAATGAAGATTCTGAAATCCACTTCACTACTTCTTGCCACTGGAACCCTGGAACTCTCTCAAACTAATTCCTCTCGCCATCACTGCACCCTCTCGCACTCACCGCACCCCTCTCGCCATCACTACACCCTCTCGACATCACTGCACCCCTCTCGCCATCACTGCACCCTCTCGCACTCACCGCACCCCTCTCGACCTCACTGCACCCTCTCGCACTCACCGCACCCCTCTCGACCTCACTGCACCCCCGTCGATATAACCGCACCCCTCTAGACATCACTGCACCCTTTTGCAGTCACCGCACCCCTCTCGACCTCACTGCACCCCCCTCGATATAACCGCACCCCTCTCGACCTCACTGCACCCCTACCCCACCCCCCTCTACATCACTGCACCCCTCTCGAAGTAAGGATGCTGAACGTTATCGACAAGATATTTTTTCGAAACTGTAAATGTGACGGACGGTACCTATCGTAACTTTCACAGAGAATACATTTCAGTGTTGAAAACTGAAAAAGCCGGGTGTTTCCCAATGACGT